GTCAGTCATTGCTGTGGGATTGGGAGTTCTCCAAAACCAAGTGGGGCAACACGTACCTCGCCCAAACGCCTGACATCATGCACATCATCGAGGCAGGGCTTTGGCTTCATGCAATGAGGTGCCTCGTGAAGAAGTTGAAACCGTCAGAGCGAAAAATACTTCTCGAGTAAGTTTCCCTTTTCCCCCGGTGGGGCGAGAGTCATACGTGCAAGGGAAAGGGGCATCGAGGGGGAACCAGAGGGATAGAGAGGGGAAGAGGGACAGCGAGAGGGAAGGTTGCACTAAGAGAGAGGGATATTGGGGCAGAGAGTGGGGAAGATGGTCAGAGAGACGTATGTTGTGGCTGACTGAGGGGAGGACGGGGAGGTGGATGGAAGGGGGGCAGCTATAAACGACTACGGGGCAGAGACAAGGTAGGAGGTGCAGAGAGAAGTGATTGCGAGCCAGAGTGAGAGCACGCGGCGAGTGAAGTGGGAACTAGGGACGGAGAGAGGTAAGGAGGGGAATGGAGGGGGACAGTGGGGCAGAGAGAGTTAGGGAGGGCGGGGCAGAGATAGGGAATGCGGGGTCGAGAGAGGGTAGGAGGGGCAGAGAGACGGACGTTGGGGTATCGAGTGAGAATGGCAGAATACGGCGCCTGAGAAAGTAAGCGGCAAAGGAGGAATGGCAGGTAGAGAGAGGGAAAGAGACAGAGCTAAGGAGGTACTGCGGGGTTGAGAGGGAACGATACGCACATAAGGAGGCATGGAGGGAAGAGTGAGGGAATTTGTAGCAGCGTTGGAGGAATGCGGGGTGGAGAGGGGGGAAGTGGTGCAGAAAGAGGGAATTTGGGACAGAGACGTTGAGGGAGGGGCTGAAAGGTGGAAGGAGGCGCTGCGAGCAGGAAGGTGGGGCTGCTAGCGGGAAGGAGGGGCATAGGAGGGGGGGGGGGGGGGGGGGGGGGGGGGGGGGGGGGGGGGGGGGGGGGGGGGGGGGGAGGTCGCGTGAGGTGAACGCGGGATTCAGAATAGTGTATTCGGGGCATAGGGACCACATGGGGGTAATGTAGGGGTAAATTTGGGCAGAGAGTAAGGGAGATTGCGGCTGGGAGAGGGCAAGTGGGGCAGAGTGAGGAAATTGGGGGCATGGAGAAAGAAATTGGGACCGAGGAAGGGAAATTGGGGCAGAAAGAGAGAGAACGAGGGGCAGAGAGAGGTGATCATGGGGCAGAGCGAGGGAACAAGGGGCAGAGAGAGGAATGATGAGGCATAGAGGCTGGGGGAGTGGGGCAGAGGACGTGCAGGGATTCACTGAGAGAGAGGCAGGGGGAAGATGAGGTGCGATCTAATGCACCTAACTACAAGACCACCCCGCTAGCCCCACCCCTCCCCCGCCCCCCTCCCTAACCCACCCCACCGGCCCCACACCCCCTAAACCGACACCCTTATTGCATCTCGGAAGTGCAGCCGCTACAAGATTGTCAAGGCAGCGACTCCGGCGTCTTTGCTGAGACTCCCATCCGCATGGGCGTACTTCACCACGACGGCCTGCTTCTCAGCGTCGGAGCACCGTGCCATGATGCAAGTGCTGCCCCTCATCATCGACCTCCCCAAGCGCGCCGATATTCGACATGCCATCACGATCATGTCGGACTGGTACAAGGAGTTTATCCGGGCTGAGTATCACACCGATGCCACGCTTGAGCGCATGGAGGAGGTCTCCTGCGAGTAAGTCTAGCGTGAATGGGTGTGGGTGCCATGCGCATAGGGAACAAGGGACAGTGAGATGGCTGAAGGGGTCGAGGGAGGGATTAAGAGGCAGTGTTTGGGAAATAGGGTGCATAGAAGGGGGGAAGAAGGAAAAAGATAAGGAAAGGGGGGCAAAGCGAGGGAAAGAGGGGACGAGGGAGGGAAAGAGGGGACGAGGGAGGGAAAGAGGGGACGAGGGAGGGAAAGGGGACGAGGGAGGGAAAGAGGGGAGGGGGGGGGGGGAACGATAGGCTGTGGACTGTTCCGCATGCGCTGAAAAAGGGAAGGAGGGGCATAATGGCGAGAGGAGGGGCTTAGAGTGGGGGAATGGAGTGGCAGAAACATGGAAGCTGAGTTGTGAGTGGGTGGGGGGGGGGGGGGGGGGGGGGGGGGGAGATGAGAGGAGGGGGGAGGGTTTGAGAGAGGGTAGTAGTACATGAACCCGGGTATTGGGCATTGTCTGTTGTTTGTTGCTGAATTGTTGTTTATATGTGTACGCACGCTAAACCGATCCCCAACACCCAATGCCCCAATCCCGAACCTTTCAATCCACCGAAACACGTCCTATCCAGGATGGTCAATGCGCTTGTTCTAGCATTCGACAACCAGAAGTCGAAGTGGCTTATTATCAAGGTGCATCTTGTATCGCACCTCCCGCCGACGATCCGTGCACGGGGATTGCCACAGGAGTACTCGTCGAACCGGTACGAGCAGTCCCACAAGACAACAGTGAAGCGCCCTTCTCGCGGCACCAACTGGAAGGGTGTGGAGGATCGCATTGTGAAGAAGCATATCGAGCAAGCCGTTGTTCGACAGCTGTCTCGAGCCTCCGGCGGGGACAAAACATACGAGACAGCCATGAAGGAGGTGAGCCTGTGTACAACCTAAGGCCAATCTTGCCCACCAATGTTCCCCGCCTGCTCCTGCCGCATGAAACCCTCATCACCTCGTGTTTTTGTTTAGACCCTGCCTCTTCCCTTCCTCCCGCTGCCCCCCTAGACATCCCTTCTAGCATGCACGTGCTCACCATCATGTCCACCCATGAAATGCCTCAACCGCTGCCCCCCTTGACATCCCGTTTTGCATCTACATGCTCGCATTCTTGTCCACCCATCGCTCCTTCCACTAGCTGCCACCCTTCACATTCCGTCTTGCCCCACATGCTTTCCCACTTAACCACCCATGCCCCTCCCCCGGCCCCCGTAGGACTATCCGACGTTCAGCCCCCAATGCTCCCCTACTAATCCACCATATACCTTCATGCTGCTTAACACGTCGCCCCCTCGTTTCCCCCCCCCCCCCCCCCCCCCCATCCTCCTCCATGTCCATCCCTCTTACTTCCCATTCCCTCCTGCCGTTTGTCTTTCCTTTGCTCTCCCTTGATCTACACTTGTCCACCTATGCTCCCTCCTCTTGCTGCACCCTTTGACCTCTGGAAATGCCCCGCTATACTAACCGACTGGTCCCTAATCTTTGCTCCCTCTCACTGCTGCCCCTGTTGAACTCAAGTGCTGCCCCTCTCCTGCTGCCCCCCATGTACACCATGCACCCATCACCCTCCTACCCAGGCTTGCACGCTTGGGCGTCGGGTGCTGACTAAGACACACAAGAAGATGACCGTGGGGCAGATCACGGATGATGTGTTCAGGAGCTATGTCCTTGTTCACGGAGATGAAGCGATGGGCTACTTGAAGAAGCGGCTGGCCAGGGAGGGAATTCACGGCCAAGTGCTCAATGTGAGAATCAATATGGTGCTCAATGCGGGAGAATCAATGTGAGAATCAACTGCCACTGCCACGTAGACCTGTTAAACGCGGACCATCAACCTCCTTAATGGGCCGAACCCGGGCATGGCACCCTGTTGTATCCACGCACCCGTCACCACCCCATTGTCTCAACCCTAACACAAACTTCCATTGTTGTGCTGCAACCCCTGCTTGCCTATTCGCAGGTGCACACTGCCATGGCAATCCCACCGCACGACAGGATGGAGTGGACCGAGAAGGGCCAGTTTGTCAAAGCAAGCCCTTCCGACAGGCACTTTTCAGATGTAGCCATAAATCCAGCTGGCAAAGGGGCCAACTGGTACGGCCGCTGCTTGATGCTGTTCCATTACGTGAAAGATGGCGTGGCAAAAAAAGCCGCCTACATCGAGTACTACACGGAGGATCGGCGAGTCTGCCGGTACACTGGCTGCAAACGACTGTTGCCCACGAAGGGCACCTTCAATTATGCAGTTGTAGATGCAGATTGCATTCTTAGCATCGTGCATGTTGTCCCGTGCTGCAAAGACCCTGCTGTGAAGCTGCTCAATAGGTTCATATGGTGCTGCAAATAAAGTAGCAACTATGTCAATTTACCATAACCTTCATTGATAGTGAAACACGCTTTTAAGCCACCTTATTATTGTCTGAACAATTAACATCTAACAAACATTCCATTGTAACACCACGAAACCGTTACTAAAACATCACCAAAACGTTTGGTCTGACAAGAATGCAATACAAACGATTCGTAAATGATTCCTGGATGACTGTCAAACGATTTTCTGAAGCTTGCTTAAAAAAAAAATGGTCAGATGATTTCCAGACGCACACATTTTTGTGATGTGAACTCGCCTTGTCTCTCCCATTCTGCTTCTCCCCCCTTCCCCCCCGTCACCCTCTACCCTCCCCTTTTTTCCGCTCATATTGTCCTCAATCCCCGCTTCTCTGCTCCCCCGCAGGCTGTGGTCGAAATCACACACGGGAAAGTACAATTCAGATCCCGAGCTTCACATGGCAGCTCGCCAACTTCTCTTATGGCTTCGGATGGACTTGTATGACGAAGGTGAGAGTCGGTGACGGGCCTGCTGGGTAGGGGCGTGTGTGGATGTCAATTGAGGAAGCGGTGAAAAGGGGGGGAGGAGTGGGAAGAAGGGGCGTGGAGGAAGGGGGGAGAAGGGACGGAAAGGGGGGGGGGGAGGGGAGAGTGGGGGGGGAGGGGGTGCTTCCAGGGCTGGCAGAGGCCATAGAAGACGCCTGGGGGCTTGTTTGGTGGCAGCAGTTGACAAGCTAGAAATCGACAAGGTTAGAAACATGTAGGGGCTTGGTTGGAAGTCGGTGCGCAGCGGGGGAGATGTGTGTAGGAACCACTCGGGTCACTCGTGGGTGGCGGTGGGAAGGGGGCAGTTGAATAGCTATCTCGGCGAGAGTTGCTGAGAGTCAGTGAAGAGTTGGCGAGGAGTCATTGTGAGTGGCTTTGGGATGGCTTTGATGTGAGTGGAGGGAGTTGATGGGCAGCATAGGTGAGCTGAAAGGATGGTTGCAGCCAAGAGTGAATCTCATCCCCCCATCCCCCCTGCAAAAACCTCCTCTCCTTTTAAATTTCCAATTACGTCTTCCCAACCAACTCCCTATTGCAACCTCCCCCCATCTCATCCGCTCAGCACCGCATGTGTGTATGCCACACTGCATTTTGATCCCCTGAATTCTGCCCTTACCACACATGACATTTCTCGCTAATTCACTGCGTTCCCTACCACTTTCGCCTTTTCCCCTTGACCCTCTTTCCCCCTTCTCCCTTCCCCCCCAAAGCTCCGTTGCTCCTCCTCCACGGACCTTCAGATTCACGCTTCTTTAGCACAGTCTCCCGCTTCCCCCCCTGCCCGCATCCTCCTCATCAAAGCACTGCTCCCCGCCTTTCTCCGCTTCCCCTTATCTCTGCGCCTACTTCTCCTTTAGGGACTTCCGGCCCACAGGTTTGCATCCTCACAGCACTGTCACTCACATCCCTCTCATTAGCCACTGCCCCTTTTCCTTTCTTCTCTTCCCCCCTCTCCACCCCAGCTCTGTGAGCGTTTGCGCTGCAGAGAGCGCTCACGAGGGGGCGGGGAATGGGGACTGCTGATGGGGCTGGCGGAGGCTATAGAGGATGTGTTTGGTGTTGAAGATGGCGGGGCGGTGGTACGGTGGATATATCGCCAACCCCACAGGTCAGAGTGGAGAGGGGTGGGTATTCGTGTGAAAGTTGGCCAAGGGGACGGTGAGTGGGGGTTTGTGAAAGGAGTGGGGGGGGGGGGGGGGCTGAAGGGGGTTGAAGGAGGGGTTGCTGCTGGGGCGGGCGGAGGTCATAGGTGATGCGATGGGTGTCACCAATGGGTGGAAGGGACCTGGGGGGAGTTAACAGGCTGGATAATGCCCGTAAATGTGTATTCCACATCGACTTGTGTGCCCCTGACATCTGCCCGTACCACACAAGCACATTACTCACAAAGGCACTATCACTTCCTCCCACTTCTCCCCTTTCCCTTGACCTCTTTCACCCCTTCTCCCCTTTCCTTTCCAGCTCCGCACCTAGTTTTTCTACACAGACTCATAGACACACGCCCCAACGGGCACACCGCTCAGCTCTCCCAGGCGCTATCCCCTCCCTTCCCCATACCCTCTCGCTCCGCCTCTCTCTTCCCACCCCCCCCAGCTATGATGCACCTGTTCCTCCTACTCCATGTGTGGCCCGCGGACTTCTGCCACTTCCGTCGCCCACGCGCTGTCCCTTCCTCTCCCCTTCCCACCTCCCCCATCCCTTCCTGCCGTGTCCCCACCAGCTCCGCACAGTACCTGCTTCTCACGTACCGATTTCTGGCCCATAAATCCCCCACCTCTACAACATGGGCGCACTGTTCACAGGGAACCCGCGGGCTTCCAAGTGCACTCCTTCCAGGGCTCCACCGCACCTTCCTCTCACCACCCTTACCCTCTTTTCTTTCCTCCTCCACTCCTCTCTTCACCAGCTTCACACCTGCCTCTCCTACACCCACTTCTGGCCTACTGAAACCACGCTCCTACGGTACTGCCTCCCACAATCCCCTCATAAGCCACTATGTTGTTTACCCTCCCCCCCGCTCCTCTCACCCTCCCCCTTTCAGCCCCGCACCTGCTTCTCCCACGCCATCTTCTGCCCCACGGACTCCCCCATACCCACGGCACGGGCGCACTGCTCACCCAAGAAGAGGTTGCTGCCATGGCAGAGCTGCACGGGAGGCTGCAGGCGAAGCTGGGTGAGGCCTGGCTGCTGGGTTCCCCGTGGCGGTTTTTGAGGATGGCCGGGCAGAGGGAGGAGGAGGTGCGTCCGAAGTGAGCGAGGGGTGGTGGGCTGGGCTGTATGATGCTTCTGTGTCACTCGTAGATCACGGGTGAGGCGAAGCTGGTGGGAGGGGCGGCTGGGTCCCCCGTGGCAGTTTTTAGGAGTGACGAGCAGAGGGAGGAGGAGGTGCGTTCGGGAGTGAGTGAGGGGTGGTGGGCTGGGCTGTTTGAAACTTGTTTGTCAATAGTGGGTCACGAACAGATTACGGGTGAGGCAAGGCTAGGTGGGCCTGCTGTTTTCCTTGTGGTCATGTCCTATCTCAGGGTAGAGCAGCGGGAGAAGGTGGTAGGTGGTGAGAGGAACGTAGTCTAAGGATGGTTCACCAGCAAGTCACCACTAGCAAGCTTGTTGCATGCCGTCAGTTTTCGAGGACGAGCAGATGAGGCGAGGTTAGGCAGGGCTACTGGGTTCCCAGGGTTGAGCAAAAGGAGAAGGAGATGGGCTGGTGAGGGGAGTATGGTCCAGTTGTGGGGAGCACAGATATGTGCTGCTGGAGTGGTTATCGGGACAGACTAGAAATCTGTTGGGCTCTGCCCGCGCAGGTTCGAATCCTTCTGAGCACGAGCTCGTTTGTGGTGTAATGGGTTTGCTGAGGAAACCGTATCAGCGTCCATGTTACACTATTTTTTTTGTATCAGTATTGTTTTGCACTTCACAGTGCGACGTCACATCAAAGCACAGCGATTACTCTGATAACGTATTATTAATTGCCTAGTGGTCACCCTCTTTGTCTTGTTTTTGTGCTGTTCATTGGAAGAACTTGGGCATGACGATGCGACTGTCGCTCCACACAAGGCAGCGCGCTGGATCTGTGACGTCTGTCACACTAAAGTTTGTCGCACTGCCGTCTGTCACACTAAAGTTTGTCGCACTGCCGTTTGTCGCACTGAGGTCTGACTCACTGGGGTGGGGTCTGTCGCTGAGGCAAGTCGCAGTCGCAGTGGGGTCTATTGCACTGAGTTCACTCACTTTAACTGGGGTCCCTCTATTGCTCGCATTAGGAGATAACTGCTTGCAGGTTGATCCATTGAGGCGCAGACTTGCACGCAAGGGGGAAAGAGGGGACGACAATCGATGTGCGAGTGGATTGGTCCGACAAAAACCTTGCTGCAGGTAGGATGGGAAATCACCATTGTTGAAGGGGAGAGGAGGGAACGAGGGGATTCAGTGTGCACGTAGGTCGATCCGACAAGATTCCTCCCCGCACCACTCACTCCGTTCCCCATCCCGCTCTCTTCGCGCTTCTTTTGGCGCCTCGAAAGCCCCTCGCCTCCCCGCGTCCCGCATTCTGCTCCCCATTGCAATCGCTGTGCATAAAGACGTTACCCTAGATCCGTGCTCTTTGTTGCTCTTAAACCATTCCGTCTCACCAACCACTTTACTCACCCTGCTTCCCATCCTGCTCTATTCTCGTCCGCGTTGCTCGCAGCATCAGTCCCTGTCGCGTGCCCAGGGCAACCACTTCGCTCCCCATCCTGCTCTATTCGTGCAACGCCTGTGGGGCTTATTTGTAAGGTTGAGTGCTTCCCCTGCGCCTCAAGTATATCCAGTGGGTAACTCCCCCATCCGCTCCTTGTCCCTTGGCAACTTGTTCGAGCGAGGGGGAGGGCGAGTGGGCACGGGAGGTGGCGGCGGCGGCGGCACTACGGTGGCTGGCATCACTGGGCGTGGACAGTGGGGAGGAGGGAGAGGGAGGGGAGGGGAAGGGGGAAGATGAGGGGAAGGATGAGGGGGAGGGGGAAGAAAAGAGCGCAAGGGAGAGGGGCAGCCACACTCGTGTCTGCACCTCCCAACCCCTCTCTCCGCCCCCACTGCCCTAATCTCACCTTCCTTCTCTTCCCCCTCAAACCCCCCTTTTCTTGCCCTTCCTTCCCGCTTCCCCTCCCTCCTTGTTTCCCCATATCCCCCCTCCTACCCCTTGCTCTCCCTGTCGCACCACTCCGTGCCGCCGCCCGCCCAAGTGAGCCCTGCAGCACCCGTGCCCGCCTTCTACTCCTTCTTGGGGCCGCGCCTGGGCGACGCAAGCGCCGCGGGCAGCGCAGGTAGACTGGCGGCGGGTGCAGTGGAGCAGCAGGGTGAAGTGGGGGCAGGCAGATGGAGGAGTGAGAGGCAGCGAGCATGGGAGGGGGCAGCAGAGGGAGCGGGCGAGGAAAGGGAGGAGGAATGAGGAGTCAAGAGCAGCAGAGGGGACGCGGATACTGGCGGTCGTGGTGGTGCAGATGGTTGGGGGAGGGGGGGGGGGGGGGGGGGGGGGGGGGAGTGTCCAGCACGTTGCTTTAGAAGTCGCTCTTCCCCTGCTCCTTAGGTGTGTTTCGCGCATGTGCGACTGCTGTGGCTGTCCCCCACGCAATGCCATATGACACCACGTGTCTGCAGTATCCGCAGCACCACTTTCTTCTCTGCTTCTCACATTCGTCCCACCAGCGCCTTGGCTCCCCTCTTTCTCCCCCCACTGCCTGTGTCAGGCCCGTTGCCTCAGCCTCTCCTCCGCACGCCTCGCACTAGCAGCATTAGCTCCTCTTTTGCGCGCCTCCCCTACACTACTGCCCCTGGGAGACGACTCGAGGGCAGCATGGGCAGGAGAATGGGAGGGAGGGGAGAGGGAAGAGGGGGGGGAGAGGGAAGAGGGGGGGGAGAAGGTGGGGGAGAAGGGGCGGGAGGGAGCATGAGCGGCAGTTTGATCAATACAGACATGCGCGCAGGCACAAGGCCGAAGGAGGGGGGGGGGGGGAGAAGGGGACAGGGGCACCCAGGCATGGAGGAATTGTGGCGGCCAGCAACAAGAACAGGCAGCATAGGCAGCGCGGGAAGCACGGGAAGCAGAGGCAGCATGATTGGGAGGAGCGCGAGCATGGAGGAGGGGCGAGCACGGCTGCTGGCAGCTGATGCAGCACTCACGGATGCCATTCTCACGGGCGTGATCATGCCCACACCCACCTCCTCTTCCCTGGGCTTCCCCCAGTGCGCGCAGCATGGCAGCACCGCGACTGCCCATAATGGCGGTGGTGGTGGCATGGTGGGCAGCAGCGTGGATTGCAGTCACAGCATCAGTGTAGTGTGGCGATCGGGCGGCGCAGCCTTGACAGCAGCAGCAGCAGCGTGTGCTGCAGAGACAGGGCAGCGTGGCACTCAATCGACAAGGTAGCATGTGGCACGGCGGCATGGGGCAGGGCGGCATGGGGCAGGGCGGCATGGGGCAGGGGGGCATGGGGCAAGGCGGCATGGGGCAGGGCGGCATGGGGGCACATCGAGAAGAGGTAAGCCATCCTATAGCTGTCCCAGTAGGCCTTCCGCATTGCAAGCCTTGCAAGCCTGGCTCGCAGCCTACAAATCGTTTTGCTCGTACTTTTTGTCATATCGGGCCAATGTGCCAAAACGAGTCGACCAACCTTGACCCGATTCGAGTCAAATTTCGATTCTACCGAACTCGGCTATCCGGCTCGAATCAACTCGCAAATCAACGTTGACTCGACCTGCAAATGCGTTCCACTCACATTTGAGGAGTGCATTTGCTTGTGGTTTAATTAAACTGGTAAGAATCTAATGCCCGGGCCAAGGAGGCTCTCACCAAGCTGCCAGGCTCGCCCCAGCCTTGCGACTCATGAGCCACCTCGTTCTAAACTCCCCCCGGGGGTAGTCCTCCAGGTCAGGGGATGGATTTAGCATGTCTTACGCTCCTCGCCAACCTCAACCAACGGAAAATCTTTGAAACTGAGGTCTTGAATGCATGCGATTTGGCTTGGAAAGTGTGTAGTAGAAAACCAGCACAGCCCGAGATGCTCTGGTTTTCTATCAGCCCCATGGTCTCAAGCTGACCCGAGTTGCGTGCGAGTCTACTTCAGGAATCTTCCTACTCAAAGTGCACCTCAAACGGCCAGGCCACGAGCCCCTTTGTTCACTCATAGTATAGGACTCACCACCATTTTTTCTTCTCCCTTGCACTATAATTTCAGATCCCGCGTGGTGTGCTCACTCCGTCTTCCCTCACCCCGCCTGGCTGTGGTAAGGAGAAACAAGCCACGGAAGCAACCAATCATGGATTCGGTTCTATCCAGTGTGAGGATGTGTATCCGGTGGGTGAGGTTGCATATTTCATGCCACGCTGAGCTGAGATCTTTGACTCGTCGTCATTCCTGGTCCGCATCCTCGTGCAGCCTTGTATCTTGCTCCCTTCCTACTCTTGGGATCCCTTCTGGCCTATCCCTCACTGCCGCGTTTTGCAACCCTCACCTACCTACTTGCATTGATGTAAAGGTGTGATGGGAGCGTCAAATTCTGCTTATACAATGAAGGTTTTTTTTGTTTGGAGAAACTTCAACAGATAAGACCCCTTTGTCTTTGCTTGCTACTTTTATTTTTCTCTCACCTCCTTTCTCTTGCACGACGATTCCCTTCTCAGAAGCCATTTTCTGATACCATCGCTGTTCCTGGGACCTTCTGGCTGCTCTGCTCGTTCAGCTCGCTTCATGTGGCTGATGTACAACATCACCTTTGTACCAGCCACTCTGTGTACCTCTCCAACCTGATCATCTCCTCCCTTGCCTGACTCCTCTGGTTCCTCTCTCTGATTCGCTCGCTGTTCTTGAGGTTCCTTTTCACTCTGTCAGCAACTTTCCCATCCCCTTGTTTGTGTCCTTCACGGCTCGTGAGTCGGAATGAACCATGAAGGAGCATAGGGTTCATTCCGACTCGTGTGTGACTTCACACTACTACCCTATGCAGTCCTTTCCTCCTCATGGGTCGCCTTCACTCTTCGTATTCATTTCTGCATGCGTGTGTGTATGAATGTTCTACAATATAAAAACTCACCCATGCGGTCTCAGCCTTTATGGCTACCTTCTACTGGCGCCTACAGGAATACATGGGAGAGAAAACACCTCCTTCACCTGTAACGGATGGGTATGTAGGGAAAAAAAGAAGATATGCAGTGTAGTAGGATATATAATGCTTTTGAAGGAATGAATGGGCAGAAGTTTGGGAGGGTTCCCAATCTCAGAACTCGAGGATAGAGTGCGTGGGTGGGAGATCCATGGTGGTTGTACATGCGTGGTGTGCATCACAACCTTACAGCCATCCTCGCACCACGATTCTGTTCTGGGAACTGAAGAACAAATACATTTTAGCATAAACAAAACAGCCCCGTTGGGGGTGATAGCCTTACCGAGCGAGGTTTCGATCCTCGGACCTGTGGGTTATGGGCCCACCACGCTTCCGCTGCGCCACTCTGTTGCGACCTTGCCGATCTTTTTGTTTTACAAATTCCCTTTCCTAAGTTCTACTCTCCTTCCTCCTCTTCTACTCTCCTTCCTCCTCTTCTACTCTCCTTGCTCCTCTTCTACTCTCCTTGCTCCTCTTCTACTCTCCTTGCTCCTCTTCTACTCTCCTTGCTCCTCTTCTACTCTCCTTGCTCCTCTTCTACTCTCCTTGCTCCTCTTCTACTCTCCTTGCTCCTCTTCTACTCTCCTTGCTGCTCTTTTACTCTCCTTGCTCCTCTTCTACTCTCCTTGCTCCTCTTCTACTCTCCTTGCTCCTCTTCTACTCTCCTTGCTCCTCTTCTACTCTCCTTGCTCCTATTCTACTGTCGTTTCTCCTCTTCTACTCTCCTTGCTCCTCTTCTACTCTCCTTGCTCCTCTTCTACTCTCATTGCTCCTCTTCTACTCTCATTGCTCCACTTATACTCTCATTGCTCCTCTTCTACTCTCATTGCTCCTCTTCTACTCTCATTGCTCCTCTTCTACTCTCCTTACTCCTCTTCTAATCTCCTTGCTCCTCCAGGGCTTTCTCTTGTTCCAATGCGGTCTGGCTTCATGCCAAATGCATGAGTGTGCTTGATCCATACTTGTCCCCCCTCCCCCTTCTCCCCGTTTTTCCCCCCGCCAGGTGTGTGAGAGCCGCATGCCAGCAGTAGCAGACCGCGTGGTGCTGCGCAAGCTGGCCCAGGACATGTGTGAGTGGTCGCGCCTGCTGGTGAGTGAGTGAGAAGAGAGGGGGGGAAGAGGAGAGGAGGGGATTTGGGGATGAGCGGTGAGGGGTGATGGCGCAGGGCATGCACGAGTGGCTGCGCCCATGGGTGAGGGGGGCGATGGGATAATGGGGATATGGGAGGCTTAAGAGGAGATAGGGGGGTTGAAGGGAGATGAGGGTAGGTGAAGGCTCGGACAAAAAGGGTGAGGTATGTGACGCAAAGATTGGTTATTTTTTCAAGCCACAATGCCCATTTTTTCTCTGCACCCATCTCCCCACCACCCTCCCTCACCCCTCTTCCCCAACCCTCTCCCCCACCCCTCTCCCTCACCCCTCTCCCCCAACCCTCTCCCCCACACCTCACCCCCATCTCTCTCCCCCACCCGCTTGCCCCAACGGCCTCTACCCACCCGTCTCCCCTGCCCTGCTTTCCCGCACCTCTCCCCCACTCTCCGCACGCCCCACCCTTACCCCTCTCTGCCACGCCTCTCTCCCAACACTTCCCTAAACCTCTTTCCCAAGCCTCTCCCTCAAACCTCTCGCCCAACCCGCTCCCCAACCCCTTTTCCCCCACGCCTCCCGCCTGTGCCTCCCCTCCACGCTTCCTTCCAACACCTCCCCCTCTCACGCCTTGGCCACACGCCTCTCCCCCACCGTCTTCCTCCCCCATGCCCTGATCCTGCCAGGAGGAGTCAGCTGGCGAGGAGGCAGTGGGATCCAGTGGCTAGCGCAAGTCAATGTACGCGCAGATCACGGGCATAGGGCCATGGGCCACAGGTCAACAGGGCTGGACTATACCACCCACCCAGCAAGAGCTTGCTGACGAGACCGCAGCAGAGCAGAGCACATCACGCGCCCTAGGTGTGCGCGTACTTTGCGTGCTGTTCCCTGGCAGTGAGGCCCTCGTAGCGGAACACAACTGGCCTGCGATGGACCTTGGTGTCGCCCGACTGCTCTCCAGCGGTGACCCCATCGTCGTGGGATTGGTCGAGATAACGACTAGGACAACACTCAAGCAACGATTCATGATGGTCCGCCCTACACTTCTTGCTTTCCCCATGCTCTTTGCTTCTCCCTTCCTCCTCCCCCATCGCACCCACCCCCACCCCATCCCCTCGAAGCCTCACCCCACCTGCACATTCCCCACCTGCACCTCTTCCACGGCCCTGCCACTCGTTTCCTGTCTTTCATGCCCTCTTGTGGGTGCGTTGTAAGAAGAGGGGGGGAGTGGGGTGAAGACAAGGCAGTGCCGGTGAGATGGCGGATAAGGGAGCGTGTGTGGTGGGGAATAGGAAAATGGTGGGAGGAAAGGGGGGCGGGAGATGGGGGGGATAATTACTGTGTGTAGCTGTCCATCTGCCCTACTTCCTTTCCCGCCCTCTATGCTGCCATGGTGGTGAGGTGAGTAAGGGGGTGGATGGTGGACGCTGGATGGTGGATGGTGGATTGTGCGTGGTGGATGGTGGATGGTGCGTGGTGGATTGTGGGAGGTGGATGGTGGGCTGTTAACAGCATTGCCCCGAGTGTGTTGTTAAACTCCAACTGGTCCTGTTGGGGTGGGCAAAAGACTAATTTGGCCACCCTTGTAACAGAGAACTGTGGTCTAAAAACAATGGATTGGCTCTGCTGGACTAGACAAATTTCCAGGCAGTGCGCTCTGCCAGTTATCAGCCTGCATCTTCGTGGCCTTCCCTCCCTTTCTTTTCCTTCCCTTTCCTACTTTCCCTTCCCTATCTTCCTTTCCCTGCTTTCTCTTCCCTCCCTGGCCTTCCCTACATTCCCCTCCCTCCTTCCCTTCCCTGCGTTCCCTACCTTCCCCACCTTACCTGCTCTCCCTCTTTGCAGGGCCTATTCAGCAGGCGCAAGGCCAAGATGACCACTATTATCACGTCTCCCTCTGGGCACTTGGCATTTTCTCTGGCAGGCAGTGTGCTCCGCCTCCTCTGAGCCTTCATCGTCCTCGCCCTCCGCAATAACGAGGAGCTCCCTTCAAGCGACGATGGGGATTTGTGATTGCCCCGATGCTGTAGAATGGAAGTCTGCTGCTTCTGCTCCCCAAGAGTGACAGCATGTTCACCCACACTGATTTCCGGGTGTCATACATCATTCCACTGCTTAACAGCAGTCTGCTGGTTCTTTGTGTCAGGTTTCGGAGTGTACATCATGTCCATCACGCATCACACAATTATTCGTTGGCACGAAATTTTCTAACCTTCTGCAACAACGGACTCACTTGACAATGACCTATACAACAATCTCAAATATCTTGCGAGCATACAGTACAAGCATACAGTATTTGCAGCCACAATACAATACTCTCCCTGAGCCAGGGCTGACGATATCAGGGTAATTACCCTGATTTCAGGGTGATTACAGGCTTCTGACTTGGTGGTCCCTGCTGTTGGGCTGAACGCCCTAGGATCTTTTAGTAGAGTTAAAGTCTTGGGTAAAAGATGTAATAGCGGAAGCAAATTGATAAAAGTCTTTGAACCACCTTGCGCTAGTATGTGAGAGCAAAGTAAGTTGATTAATGCAAAGAGATACAGGAATATATATATGAGTACAGAGAATATGAAGAGACATAATTGTAACTGTTTTACTGTTGCGGTTCGATATAGTGCGACTCGGGCAACTGCTCAATGTCGAGTCAGTTGTGTGTCCTTGCTGTCGCGCTGCATTTGTTAGGCCAAAGGTCGCTGACCTTTGACTTTCGCGTAACCTCCAGTGGTTACATCAAACTCCGAGGGTTGACTCGTTGGTGCCTCGATATGCTCTGCTTCGCTTGTGCCTTGGTGTTTCGACACGACAGAGGCGCTTAATATTGTTTGTTCCCAACACTCCCCTTCGCTTCTGGAGTGTCGCTGATGGTGACATGGCTTTGTCCAGTCAGCAGCATGCAGTACTCGAACTTCTGTTTTCCGAGCTTCTTGGTCAAGTAGTCAGCTGCCATCTTGGACGTGGGACAGTAGGATAGTTTGAGTTTCCCTTTCTCGATCTCGTCCTTCACAAAGAAATATCGCAGGGCGATATGCTTCGTTCTGTTCGCGAATCCGCTCTTGTTGGCGATACGAATCGCATATTGGTTGTCGCAGAACAGAGTGAAGTTGGGTAACTCGGCTAACTTCGCTTCTTCCAGCAGCTCGCGAAGGTAGAGTCCTTCCTTGGTGGCTGAGCAGAGTGCGATACATTCTGCTTCAGCTGAAGAGAGAGCAATTAGTTCCTGCTTGCTCGATTGCCAGGAGATAGGTCCGATAGGTTCGAGGCGGTAGATGTAGCCAGTGCGGGAGCGCCTGTTGTCTGAGTCGCCGGCGTGATCGGCGTCGACGTAGCCGATTAGTTTCGTCGGCGTAGTTGTGTTCTTGTAGTACGTCAGGCCGATCGTTGAGGTGCTCACAAAATAGTGAAGAGCGCGGTCGAGTTCCGCCAGGTGTTCTGTTTCGGGCCTTTTGAGATAGGTAGCAAGTTGACTTGCGGAGTAGGACAGATCTGGGCGGCAGGTGACGGCTGCGAAGAGGAGGCAGCCCAGCTTTCGCTGGTAGTCGCGTATTCCGGCGGTTTTGAGTAAAGCGGAGCTTCCCTTGTCGTTCCCTGCCGTGTAGCGGTTTGGCGTGGAGATAGTAGCAGGTGTGAGCGCGAAGCGTTTGGCGATAGTGTCGGCATACTTTTCGGCGCTGAGGTAGATCGCGTTCTCTTCTTCGCGGATGTTGAGTCCGAGATACTAAGTGACGGTAGAGGAGACCGTGAGTGTGAGGTCCCTCTTCAGCTCCCCTTCGAACCAGGTAGTTATGTCGTCAGTAGAACCGATGTAGAGTAAATCGTCGACGTAGACGATCAGCAGAATGTAGTCGGCGTCTTTGGTGAGTCGGTACATTCCTTGGTCGTGAGGCAGTTGACGGAATCCGATGCGAGTGTGTAGGTGCTGTTGCCACAGCCGCGGGGCTTGTTTGATTCCGTAGAGTGATTTTAGTAACTGACAGACTTGGTTAGGTTCCCCGTGGGTACCGTGTGGGAGCTCGACGAAGATTTCGGCGTCGACGGGTGCGTAGAGGAATGCGTTGGCGAGATCGATTTGCCGCAGTTTCTTCTTCTTAATAGCAGCGATTGCGATGAGAATTCGGAGTGAGGTGTGTCGGCTGACCGGGGCGAATGTCTCGGTGAAGTCCCGTCCGTGCTCCTGGTCGAATCCACGCACGACCCAGCGTGCTTTGAATTTCTCGATTGTGCCGTCTGCTTTCGTTTTGATGCGGAAGACCCATTTCCCGGTGAGGATGGTCTTGTTCCTTGCCACGCTTACGGGAACGACTTTCCAGGTGTTACGTTCCTCCAGCGCCTTTAACTCTCTGTCCATGGCTTCACGCCATTTCTCCCTGTGTTCCCCCCCCAGAGCCTGCTAAACCGTCGCAGGCTCCTTAGGAAGGGTGTTGCCGTGGACTACGGTGACGAGGCCGAGAATCTGCAGTCCAGTCTGTGAGTAGCGGGGGAGTGTTGTGTCCTCGGGATAAGCTGCTTCATCTCCCGCTTCTGGGCCGGGTATGAAATTCGGCCCTATCCGTTCTGCTTCGTTGGTGTGGACTGTCGCAGGTGTTACGTAATCAGTGTCGGCGAAGTGGTAGAAGACTTCGGCGTTGGCGCTTTCGCGAGGATTTTCTTCGTCCATGGGGACGTTGACGGAGCGGAACGGGAGAGGTCCGGCTTCTTCTGATGCGTTGTCGACGGTCTGCTCGTCCCAGTCTGCTTCGTCCGCTGCTGAGGCGAAGGCTCGGTCACCACGAAAGCCACCTGTGGGATCTTGATTCTCGTGCAAGTTGGCGAGGTACGTCTGAAGCGTGAGTCTTTCGTAGAAGATCACATCACGTGCTGCTACTGTTTCCTTGGAGTGGACGTCGAAGATTTTCCACGCGTTGTAATTCTTTTCGATGCCGAGGTGTAGTCCCCACTGTGCGCGTTGTGAAAATCTTCCCGCTCGTGCCTCTGGGGGTCGGTACTGTACCATGCTCCCAAAAACTCGTAACATTTTTGTACTGCCCTGTTTCCCTGTCCACAGCAGATGCGGTGATGCGTTGTTCGGGAGTGAGGACGATGACATCAAGTTGTGCAGCATGACAACACGGTCCATTGCTGCCGGCCACTGGTGGTTGGGTAGCCGCATGTCACGTAGCAGTTTGCGCATGCTGTTCTGCAGAGTCCTGTTCATTCTTTCTGCGACACCTTGCTGCTGATGGGCGTAGGGAAGGGAGAGGAGTTGCTTGATTCCTCTTTCCGCCAGGTACTGCTTGAATCGCTGAGAGGTGTATTCTCCTCCTCCGTCTGACTGGAAGCTTTTCAGCTGTGCTCCCGACTCTCTTTCTGCTACTGGTAGCCAGGTGGCGAACGCTGCGAGTGCCATGTAGCGGCTGGGTAGGTTTAGGTGCCAGACGTATCGAGTGGCGGCGTCGATGAAGGTTATCGTATAGTTGTAAGTAACTTGTCCTGGTTCTCGATTGAAGAGAATGTCACTGTACACCTTCTCGAGTGGGGCGTACGCGGGTGCGCTCGGATTGTGGTGAGGAGTAAACGGTCGATGTGGTAAGTCGGCTTCGGTGCAGGTAAGGCAAGTTCCTCGTGCCCGTTGAAGTTCTCTGCCATCGGGTAATAGTAATGAATCCTTGTCTAGGACTCCTGCTCTTATTGTATTATTTAACACGGTGTTGCTTGGATGTCCCATGCGTGCGTGCCAGATGTCTTCGGAGGCGCGATGTCCGGGTGAGCGTCGATACGCGTCGGAGTTGGAGTAGAAGCTGACGACGAAGTTTGCGCTTCTGTGGACTTCTCGTTCAGTTGGTTTCAGCTGCTGTGCGGGTGTTGGTGGTGCTTCGTTGACGAGGACTGGTGTCGTTGGTCCTGCTGCTGCTGCCGATGTTGTCTCTGCTGCTGCCGATGAAGTTTCTGCTGCTGCCGATGTTGTTTTTGCTGCTGCCGATGTTGTCTCTGCTGCTGCCGATGATGTTTCTGCTGCTGCCGAATGTTGAATTGTTGCTAACGCGCGTGTTCTTTCTGCTTCAGGGATGGTATGCAAGTACCAGAAGCCTTCCGAGCTGAAGTCTGGATCAAGATATGGAGGATGTGTCCAATCGGCGAAGTTCACGATGGCGTCGCTGTCTGCAGTGCCCAGGTCTGGAACGAAGTCTAGGACGAAGACGTTGTTCTTCAAGACCGCCTTCCTGATGTAGAGGCCGCCCTTCCCGTGGTATAATTTGAACTCCTGGGTGGTATTGTCGGCTTCCAAGTGAATGCCTTTCGCCATCAACTGGCTGACGCTCAGTAAGTTGTAGCCGAGTCCCTCCGCGATTAGTACTTTTGACATATGCAGTATAACATTTGTCTCTCGTGACTGAAGTTGTACTACTCCTTGTCGTCGTGTGCGCAGGTTCTGGTTGTTGGCGACCGTGATGACGACCTCTCGTTGAAGTCGGTGTTCGCGTTGGACGAAGCGTCCCGAAGAGCACATGTGTTGTCCGCAGCAACTGTCCAAGAACCATGTGTCTTTCCCGGACGGTTCGCTTTGAGCGATGGCAGCGTATGTCGGGTTCGGTTGAAGTGACTCGCGGCGAGGCGTGCTGTTGTCGAGTTGTTCTTTTGGTGAGTAGTATGGTGGTGACTCGTTTGTGCAGGAATCTGCTATCTTCACCATGCAGTTGACAATGTTTCTTCCTCCTTGTGCAGGTTGTCCTGTTGGAGTCGTTGAAGCTTGGACTGAAGTTGTCGGGTTTGCTTGCGTTGAAGTGACTTGGGAGCTTGAAGGCCGGAGTTGTCACTGTGGTGTTGTCGATTGCTGACGATACGGGCAGTGCGTACGAGGATGCCCTGAAGTCTTGCAGATGTGGCAAAACGGAGGTACTGGCTTCAATTGTTGTTGCTGCCGATTGTTGTTGTTGTTGTAGCGTCGCTGGGTGTGAAACGCGAACTCT